CATAGACAGTTAGTGAGTGTGTATGTGTGTGTGCAGTGGTTGGCGTGCATGGTATCCAGGGTGATCCGGAGTCGAGTTGCGTGTGAACTCTGAGTCGAACGTGTAAGTGTGGGCGCCCAGCGCCACAGCCAACTGAAGTAAACTTGGATTTGAGTTGAGTTGCAAGCTACCATATCTCCGAGTTTGAGTTGGGTGCACAGCGCCAAGTTATTCTCATCTGTTGCATGCATGTTTGAGTGTGAATTTGCAAGACTGATTTCAGTTCAGCTGAGGTTACTTTTTTCTACAGGGTTTATCTATGCCTCCATTTTTTTTTCGGCCATCTTCTTCTTTCTCCGCTTCATCATTTATGTCGGCATATTCTACATTTAATTTATCCTCCTCCTCCTCCTCCTCCTTATCCTCCTCCTCCTCCTCCTCCTTATCCTCCTCCTCCTTCTCCTCCTTCTCCTCCTCCTCCTCCTCCTCCTCCTCCTCCTACAGATATGATCCAGAGAAGAGTAGGAATGATAGACTTCGATAGACTTTGATATCCAGGACGGACTTTTCAATAGATTCTCAAACCACAATTTGAAAATCCCTTAGCAAAAAAATTGATAGATTTTTTAGAAAATTTATAGGAAATAAATATTGTAAAACAAAATAGAGATCATTACAGGAGAGAATGGGATCATACGTCTATTAAAATCCCACTTAAATTCTAATTTACAGGTTACAACATCAGACTAGTAAACTACTAATTCAGATTTATTTTTTTTATCCGATCAGGTGCAATCTGAGACTTGCCTCAATTACTCGGAAGAGGAGAACTCTCCTCTATTCTGATCTATCCCGTTGTCACACATCCCTACAAGCACCCCCTCTACTCTTCCTCCGCTAGCGACGAGCGGACCTCCTCCACCACATAGTTCCCTAAGGGAAGACGAATAGAAAGCCAGCTCCCAGAAACTCATAACAGATCACTAACGTGCCATCTCCATCCCACGACGAGCCGACCTCCTCCAGCACATAGTTCGTGAGATGCAGATCGTCAGAACCACTCCCGAGTCCCCACAACCAGCATAGAACTCGATTTGGAATGCGCGCCATTCTTCATTCTTCTTCATTCTTCGGTGAAGAAACAACGTTGAATGCAGCCCGAATTACTGCTGACTGTAGATTACACCCGCGGAGAAAGTACCCAAACAGTGGACAAATTAATGCCAGTTACAGGAAGTACGATCGAAGCCAACCGCTACCCACATGTGTGCGATGAAGACATTGTAGAGTTCTCGAAGGCAGCCAGCCAATCAGCGATCTATCCCACAGACAGTAAGTACTCAGAGCGAAGGCTCACACAACGACCTCGCTGCCAGAACAAGTTGAAATTATGCTGAAAGAGATATAGAGAGAAGCCATACAATATGCCTGCCTGAATTATTTCCGGACCCCGCAGCATTACGAGCAGCTAGTGACGACTGAGCTGCCTATCCCCTTCTAGTCTTCGCGATGCCCCTTAGGAACTCTCTCTGTCTCTCTCTGTCTTCGCAGCTCACCCGCCTATCGCCTACTAGATGCCCCTTCGGGACTCTCTCTCTCTCTCTCCCCCC